TTTACCCAAAGTATTTCAGGATCCTCGCCGGTGCTACTGAGTTTGTGCACTGCGTTAAGAACCTTAGGACTCAGACTTGAGTTAAAGGTAGAACTGAGCACTTATGGGTTACTACCCTAATGCCATGATGTTGATCCGGTGTATAAACCCACAAACTCATTCCGTCTTGTCTTTCCTCTGAGCGTTGAGCAATCGCCAGATCCCCTCGTCCCTCCTCGCTGCCTCACTCGCACCAGGACTGCGATCATCCATTCATTCGCTCCTCCGAATTGTACACGTGTTCCCATAAGGCCTTGACCAAATCGAATATACATGTATCAGTTTTCCACCAAGCTGTTCAGAGCCAGCCAGTATGTCCGACTGTTTATTCCCCAAAACACCAGCATGACTCCGAGAAAAGATCCAGATAATGCTTCTCACCCGTGAACATCGAAGCCAAGCATGCCACTATGAACGAAACATGCCTGTCACCGCAGGTTTGAAGACAATAAAGCAGGCGAGATAGAATGATGAACATGTGGACTTGTATAATATCTGGCTATATATTTAGTTACGCCTACTTCCCCCTCCCCTCTTTTCACTACACACACACACACACACACACACCTCCCACCACCTCCGCACGCCCTCCTCAGCGTCCCTCTCCTCAAACCTCCGTTGTTGTTCATAATGATGCTTATTATTATCTGCTAAATTATAAATGAATTAAATAGTGTGTGCACGGAACGAGGCCAGAAAGGCAGAATCTAAGACGTGCCTGTGTGCCCAATCCTTAACGCTTTGAAAATAAATTTCGTTCGTCCGTTTGTTGGTTTCGTCGTCGCTAATGCAACAAGGGGAGCCAACCCGACACGGACTCCATTAGTAGAACCAAGTATAAATTATGTGTTATTTCTCTTAATGAACTTTTCACGCTTTCCCACGCTGGAGAAGTTACAGAGCCCATGTGCGATGCATTGTGCATACTTTTGGGAGGCTGCGTGGTCTCGAGGCATGGTGTACGCCTCGAATTATAGAGGTTCCGTGTTCAATTCCGGCATGGGCTGGGATTTTCTCGGACGCGCGTGTGCATTGTTGCGCACGTAAAAACTCTTTTGGCAGTTGGAAATCGAACATAGTTGACTACCGGAGCTGCCAGGGCAAAATTTTGAGTTAACAATCTACCCAAAGTATTTCAATATCCTCGCTGGTGCTACAGAGACTGTGCTCTGTGCTGGGCTTTTTCGGACTCAGACTTGAGTTATAAGAAGAATGGAGCACTTATGGGTTACACCCGTGTGCCTTGATGTTGATCTGTTGTTCAAATCCTCAAAACCTGTTTGATTCATTGTTTAAAAAAAAATATGTGCATACTTTTTAGACAGAGCAGTATTTTATTACATTTTCCACAATAATCTAATACACATTAATCACAGTTCAATAGATTTCAATCCCACATTATTCTTCACCACACACCCGTGCTTGGTCAGGATTTAGGTTATTTCATATCTGTATGCAGGAAGAAGGGCGTTCGTTGTGGAGGAGGGTGGGGGGGGGGATATAACCTTTCGGTTTAACAGGGCTTACTGGGATTCATACACGTAGGATTCTCATCCCTGAGGTGATTGCAGTACTTGAGGACAATCTTGCAAGCAATCATTGTTCACTACGCAGGACTGAAGGCACACTAGGATAGCACATGGCGTGGTGACCATGGTTGTCCTAATTGTAAATTACTTGGAGGTTAAACATAATATCTGGGATTGGCCTATTTGGGATGCAATCCAAGACGTGACTTTTTAAGTCACTGAGTTGTCCAACCTTACACATAACAGCCCTATGGAGAAAGAGAGACAGACATTAAATAATTTACCACGTACTTGCATTTAAATATTCAAAATGTGTCTTTTTACAGCGTATTGCCAGGTGCATTAATTGTCAATACGATCAAATATTTACAGGAACTCATAAAAGCCTAGTCGCCTACCTAGCAATAGGTGTTTCGTCCTTTTTATGACGATATTTCTTGTTATTTGAAGCCCCACCCTGGCTTTTGCAAGTGGCCGCAATATAGGCAGGCCATAAATATGGCCAATTGTCTGAACGCGATTTCTGGGACCTATCCACGGCGATCCTCATCCACATGGTGGCACTTTGTGTCATCGGGTGTTTATCGCTTGTGTGATGTCCTAGTGGGGTAGAAAGTCGGTCAGCGGTTTACAGGAATAACTATGGCAGCACACAGTGGCCATATTGTAACAACAACAAAAGTAAAAAACAAAAAAAGAGAAAAAACAACTATGGCGACACACAGTGGCCAATTTATGACAAGTAATGACTATCTTCTTAAATTGTCAATTGTATATTAATTGAGTCGATAGATCATTCTCTCTGTACATCGAAATAGTTTTTACATAATTGCAGCGGCGAGGTAGGATCAGTAAGCATAAAAGTTAGCAGATAACGAATACGCTAGAGAGAGTATCAGGTTAACCAGAAGGAGAGAAAAAAAGTTCTGAAATGTTATGTTGAACCAGTGCTGCCGTACGGCTGTGAGTGTAGGAATGTGAATGAACAAATTAAGAAGAACTTGAAGACTGTGTGGATGTGGGTTCTGAGACACATGCTACAGAACATCATAGACAGACAGAGTGACTAACGACTGCCTAGAAACTGCTAATGAAATTAGAAAGGTATATACAACTATATAACAGTGTTCTTCAATCATGTGATGCGAAGAGAGACTGAGAACATCGTATCTAGACAGATCAGCGACAGAAGAGGCATAGGTAGACCAAGAGAGGCGATACTTGACGACATGAAGCGATTGCACAACAGAATATCATCGGTGATGTTAATTCCAAATACTAAGGGCTGAGATCTATTGGGAGACGAGTGCTTACACTGTCAGGTAGGACACATGATGATGATGAGGAGGAGGACGATGATGATAAATTGCAGTTTACTGATATATTAAATACAATCATTTTTGACTAATAGAATTACGCTTTCCCCGTGTGGGTTCCAAAGCGCTAGATTAAATATTTTCTCTCGTGTGGGTTGTAACGTTCTGGATTACATTTTTCCCGTGCGGGTTCCAGAGTCACATTTCGAGGAGACCCACTGCTCATTAAAAAGCTGGTAGAAAAAGCGAGAAAGCCTGAGACAGAAAAGCGCAGATATCGCAGCCTGGCTGTAAATCACATCACGAAGTGCCAATCGTTTTTTTTAAGGTTGAACGCAAAGAAAAAAGAAACTTTACGTTTCACTAACTACACCCGGTGCTTTATTAATATCCTATCCCAAACAGGGAAAATCCACAGGTCACGGGACAGTCTAATATTTCAGGCGGTGGTAGATAGGCTGCATGCAGTTGTAGGACCTAGGCTGCACTCTCTCGTGGGACGTAGGTGGGTTGGGGTTAGGACCAATTCTAGATGTTTTGGAGTCGTTGAAAGCATCAGAAAGCCGGGAAACCCAGTCTTACCACCCTCTAAAATGTTGGACTGTCCTGTGACGTCATTTGGGGTTATGATATTAATTAAGAACCCTACACCCTATTCAGCACTTCAAGTATGGTTGTATATAAGCTCACTAGACTAGCAACGACTCCAAAGACAATAATACAAATATCCTTAATTCTGATGCCGTATCCCAGTTTGTGCCAGCACAGACGCAGGTGGAAGATGCACGGCAGTACGTAGGCCAAAAGCGAGCTGCCGACGGCACCTGTAAATAAATAATGTACCAAATGTTAACCAACACAATCGTTCGAATCTACAGTTATTGGACACCACTGAAAAAAAAAAATGGGAACAGCCTGAGGGAAAGCGACCAAAGAATTACCGAACAGGCACTGAAATGGGAAGCAAGTGGAATGATGCAGCAAAGACGTTGGAGGTAAACTTCATGATGAGTTATCAGCAACACTTCCATTCCCATATTGGACTGCAACGGAGTTTCGGGGAAATAAACCTGCTTGATTGCCATCATTGAGAAGTTAATCAAGCAATGAGAGAGAGAGGGAGATAGAGAGGAAGGGAGAGAGTGGGAGGGAGAGAGAGAGAGGGAAGAGAAAAAGAGAGAGAGGGGAGAGAGAGGGGGAGAGAGAGAAGGAGAGAGAAAAAGAGAGAGAGGTAGAGAGAGAGGGAAAGAGAGAGAAAGGGAGAGAGGGGGGGGCGAGAGTGAGGGAGAGGGAGAGAGAGAGAGAGGAAAAGAGAGAGAGAGAGAGGTCTCCGTGGCGAAGTGGTCAAGCCATTTGCCTCGCGCTCTGAAGGTCGTGAGTTCGTTTCACGGCGGCGCTTGTTCAGTTCACTAGTGCAGTTTTTGCGGAGATCCCTGAAAGAGCATGTTATTGAATCACATCTCTGCATGTCTGGTTCTTAGATATGACAAACAATTATTATGATTGAGGTTCCGGGTTCATTTCCCGGTAAGGACTTGCACTTCTAGTAAAATCCCCTGGTCTATTGGTAGTGAGATCAGACGCCCGTGTGCACTGTTGCACACGTAAAAAAATCCCTTGGCAGTTGAAAATCAGCTAAACGGCGCTACCTGGACAAACATTTTGAGTTGAAAATCTGTCGTGAAATGATAGTCATTACACATCGGTTTGTAAGGCTGATAACCTGTCTTACCTGTAATCTGCACAAAATTCAAACTTGGACTCGCCCAGAAATATATAGTCCCTTATATCTATATATATAGGCCTGTATTGGACAACATTATTATGTCTGCCTTTTCTGTCTTTTGGGGATATATTTACGGAGTTAATTGAGGTTTCTTGGAAACCGATTTACTCCTTGCCCCAGTATACAAGGAACTTCTTTTGTACCAACACCTGAAATGTCTATCTGACGCCATTCTCCTTGCCAGCTTCTCAAGCCTCCAGATGTGTTAATCTGTGCCTGTATACTTTAAATTTTCAAGGCAATCTGGATAGGGCAGTTTTACATATGCTTGGGTAAGTTAATTATAGTTTACGAGTACCTAGAATGTTGTCTGTAAAGTAGTCACTGCTGTAGAGAAATCCATATCGGCTGTGTGATCTCACTTAGTTCTACCATTCTTGATCGCTAGAGTAGCGGATTCGAACGTAGATCTTCCACTGTACAGACTAAATAGCTTATGCCCTCAATAAACCACCCATACTGATAAACATTTAATGCCCTTACAATTGTGTACGGTTTTAAACTACTTACAGAATCTGTACATATGAGATGGGGACAGAATTGGGTCAGGGCTGTGTTAATCAAACTATGTGTGTGCTTGACCCAGATCATTGAGTGCTGGGGCGGTTTGGAAAACTAGTGAATGCAGGTACGGACAGTAAATATTGGTGTTTGTGTGCAGAGTGAGGGGGATAGGGGGAGATGATATATGTGGTAGACCACTTTATCTATCTCCACTGTATATCTGACTTGCCTTCTCTTGCACTAAACAGACAGATAAATATAGGAGACTTATGTCTTTTGGTCTGGAGAGGCAATCTGAGGAATGAAACAGGAGAGCAGGGAGGAGACAGCAGATGGGAGGTGATGACTTATGCTTGCTCTGTCTTTCCTGTCAAGATGTTACCCTCTTGATGATGACTAATGTTGAGTTATTTTCTTGACAGGATGTATATTTTCTGAAGAGCTGGCAGAAGATTCACAGTCTCAACAACATCCACCACCAAATCCAACCACCAGAACCAACTTGTTACCCCCACCAGCTAACACCTGTGAAGGTTCCTGACATCTCCAAAAATGGGGGAGATTGTGCCTCAAACAGCTACCAGTGCCAGAGTAATGTGGCTCTAAGACATTGTGTGTCCTTACTGGTGATATAGACATGCTAAATACCGATACAGTTGCTGTATAGTGAAGTACTCTTGCTACTTGATCCAGTGGAGCAGAATTCCCAGAGTCAAAGACAGTCAAATCATCCGGAGCTGAGGGAGGCATCATAGACAGAGATAAGAGAAGATAAGTCTAATGCTTCACATGATGTTGTGTTCCTCACAGCTCCCTGTGTCCAATGATGAGAAGATGTCACCTCCAGGACCGGCTGTCTGCCTAGTTTCCTTAGGATCTAGACATTAGTGCTGAAATTCTTTCACTGATAGCTGGAATTCACTTCAATTGTTTTTGTACAGATATTATACTAAATACATGCATTCATTTTCATGGCTGACTTAGGTTTCTCTATGTCACCTTCTTAAGTGTTTAGCAGTTGTATGTGTATGTATCTTCATTATATGTGTTAACATGGTTATGATAATGAACTATCATAACCTGGGGGCTTTCTTTAGTAAGTAGTGGGGGTGTCCAGCCAAGTGTGCCTAGAAATATTATATATATATATACTGATATATTTTGTGTAGTGCCAATACTTGAGTTGCCCTACTCCAGAGATAAGTTGATCGTATATTGGCCACGGGGAATCCCTTAGACCAATACGAGCCAAACGACTCAACAAAATTATCTCTGAGTGCTGCTGGTTCTGAAGGAGAAATCCTTACATTAGGCACGCGACAGGAGTGATATGTGACAGAACAACATATCCCCAAAAATCTGTGGTCTCGTCGTGGGATTGTTTTGTACACTGTTCAATTTTTTAATTTGCTGGTGATCTTGGCCAGGAGTTGTTCAGTGTTTGTTTTTTGTTAACACAGTTGTGACCATTCTGGGTCAGTTCTTAGAGTATACTCCTAGGAGTGATTTGTAATCATTGTGGTGTTTTGTGGTGTTCAAGTACATTGGGTTAGGTACATCCTTGGTTGGTGGTGATAATTTAATCTATTGTTGATTATATTTACATTGTTGGTGACAATATATTTTGTTGTGGACTGTTAGATTGACAAGACAGCATGTCGCAGTCAAAAATTTCCATACAGGAATTGAAGGACATGGCTGTCCAGATGGGATTGGAGGGTAAAGAAATGACCGAGTGGATTAAAACCACGGAACGTGAGATGAGGATGGAAGCCCGTGAGGCTGAGAGACTCAGAATTGAGGCAGAGAAGGAAAGCGAAAGACTCCGAATAGAATCTGAGAGGATTGAAACTGAAAGACTCAGAATTGAATCTGAGAGGATTCGAGAGTCAGAAAGAATGAGATTGGAGAGGGAGTCAGAAAAATGAATGAAGTTGGAACAGGAGGTGAGGTTAAGAGAATTGGAACTTCAGGCTCAGAGAGAGGGTAATAGACCCAGATCTCCAACACCTGATATTGATGGTGCATCAACGCACAGTAGCTCAGCTCAAGCGATGAACTTTCCTATGCCAGTCTTCGACCCGAAGGCTGAAAATATTGAACAGTACCTAGACCGATTTGGCAAATTGGCATCTTTGTACAACTTGGAAAGGAATATGTACACGCTGAAGTTGGCTCAAGGTTTGAGGGGTGAGGCATACGAGATTTATCAACGGATGCCCACCGGTACTGAGACTGATTATGATGCATTGTGTCAGGCTTTGCTGAAACGTTTCGAACTTAATGCTGCGACATACAGACAGAAGTTCAGAAATGAGAGAAAGATGACAGGGGAGAACTATCCTCAGTTCGCCAGTCGCCTTCAGGGATATTTGACAAGGTGGAGGGAAATGTCTGGATACTCCTCTTCTTTTGAAGATTTACAGGAGATGATCCTAACGGAACAACTCCGAGAGACATTACCTCGACCTATGCAAACCTTCCTGACGGAGAATGGTGCTGACAGACTGAGTGAGATGTTGATGTATGCTGAGAGGTATGAGATGGCACATAAAGAAGTGGGTATAGGTGGGAAACCCAAGGCCCAGGGCCAAGGGAAAAATAATGGTAATGGTCATAAAACCCATCCAAATGAATCCCCTAAAAAGAATTCATCCCAAGCACAACCCCAGAACCCCTCAAAAGTTCAGGGAACACAATATAGACAACCCTTTAATGGCCCTAAAAAGCCTTACTGCCATATTTGTAAGAATAATAACCACTGGACTAAGGAATGTAAATCCAAACAGTCAGGGAATTTACAAGTATCAGCTTTGTTGTCTACTGTAGTACCTTCTACCCAGGAACAATTGTACAATGGTTCCAATAGGCCTCCTGTGGTAGAGAGGGTTTGGGCTAATGGATATTCTCTAAATTGTCTGTATGATAGTGGTTTGTCATACGGCTGTGTGGTGAGGCCAGAGTTTGTAAAACCTGATCAGTATACTGGCAGATTCATAGAGCTCCAATGTGCCACATTGGATGCTAAACCTTTAAACTTGCCTATTGCTAAGATTAAGGTCCGTTCAAAGTATGTCTCGGGGGTAATTGAGGCTGCAGTGCTCGAACACTGTACCTTTGATTTAATTCTTGGCGCTACTTATGTATTTTTAGCAGAGCCGAAGAAACCTTCAGAGCATCTTGCTGCGGTGACCACCCGAGCACAACATAAAAGTGCTTTAGAGGATTCTCCTCATGTAAATCCTCTTCCTGAGGAAATTAAGGTGGCCCAAAGTAGTGACCCAACCCTTAAGGCATGTTTTAAAAAGTTAACTGCAAGTCACAATCCTCCTTTGAAGAAAGAATTCTTCATGAAAGGTAAGTTGCTTTACAGATGGGCAAGTGACAAGTATACAGAGCACAGTCAACTTGTAGTACCCAAAACATATAGACAGCAGATTCTCCAGATGGGGCACACTATAGCCTATAGTGCCCATATGGGAATACATGCAACGACACAACGCATTGCCTGCCATTACTTTTGGCCAGGTATGTCAGCAGATATCATGCGTTATGTCAAATCCTGTCCGGAGTGCCAGAAGGTAGCTCCCAAAGGCAGGAATGCACCAGTCGGACTGGGGGAAACCCCTGTCACCTCCACACCTTTTGAAAGGGTGGCGGTCGATTTGGTTGGACCACTTCCTCTCACAAAGAAGAAGAATGCTTACATATTGACCTTGGTCGACTGTTGTTCAGGGTATCCGGAGGCTGTTGCACTTCGGAGGATTGACAGTAAGACGGTGGCAGAGGCATTGATGAGCATTTTCACCAGAGTGGGATTCCCTTCGCAGATACTGACAGACAATGGATCTCAGTTTAAAGGGAAACTAATGGAGGAAGTGTTTCAGATAATCAAGTCTCAACACATTTGCACCAGTCCATACCGACCCCAAGCGAACGGCCAGAATGAGCGGTTCAATGGAACGTTGGTATCGCTTCTGAGAAGATTAACACAGGAAAAGCCAGAGAGGTGGGACGAGTATCTGTCTGCAGCACTATTCGCCTACCGGGAAGTACCCAATGCCTCTACTGGATTTCCACCTGCGACCTTGGTGTTCGGAAGACCCATTTCTGGACCCTTGGCCATTCTCAGGAAGACATGGACAGACGAAGGGGCAGATGATTCCTTGAAAACCATATCACAGTATGTGCAGGAACTCAAGGAACGGTTAAAGCTAGGGTGGGACCTGGCTAAAGAGAACTTGATTCGTGCACGTAAGAGGTACGCTGCACATTTCAACCGGAAGACGAAGGAACGATGTCTTGAGGTTGGAGATAGGGTGCTTTTGCTACTACCATCAGGGAAGTCTAAGTTAGAGTTAGCTTGGGGAGGCCCTTATACGGTGGTAGAGAAGATATCCAGGATCCATTATAAGATCAACATTAAAGGTAAGTCAAAGGTCTATCACATTAATCTCCTCCGGAAATACAACGAGAGAGAGGTAAGTGACACACCGACCCTCTTGACACTTTCTGTAGCTATGGAGGTGGAAGGTGGAGAAGCCACAGCTGTGGAATATCCTCTTCACCCCAGGGAGACCTATAAAGATGTAGAGGTTAACCCAACTCTCTCTGTCTCTCAGAAACAAGCTATAGAACCACTCTTGTCAGAGTGTAACTCTGTCCTGAGAGTTAAGCCAGGGCAAACTTCATTATTGGAGTATAATACGACATTGGTTCCTGTTGAGCCTTTCAGTCAATGCCCTGTGCAAGCTCCTCTTTTTAAAGAGGAATGGAGTAAACCTCCAGACCATCAGGAGGACCAGAAGGTGAAGAATTTTCAATTCACACCAGGGTTCCTTCCTGTGTTTGTTGGAGCACATAGTGACGAGGGGAGGATTATCCTTCCGAACCTCGCGAAGGATCAGACGGGAGGGATTATATCCCACATGCCTCGACGACCTTCCTGTGTGACTACTGATGTAGGAGACACACCGGTATATTTCCTGAATATGACAGGAGTACCAGGATGGTGTGTAGGTTTATTCAGCCAACCCGATCGGGGGGTTCGGTCTGAACCTACATCTTTGCATGTACCTGGCAGGGATCAGTGATACATGGATGGAGTCATCAGTCTTAGGTCTTCAGGGCCATCGACTGATTCTATATAGATTCCTTGTTCAGTAGTATTGTATAGTGGTCATAGGTTTCTCTATTTTCACATGAATTGTCATTATTGTATATATTTCATCTGTCTCTGAGAGGTTGGTTTGGTCAACTCTTTGATTCAGAGCAGATTTCTTGAGCCGCCATCCCTTGTCTGATAATTCACAGACTGAAGGTGATGAGCAAGCTGAAAGTAGTGAGTCCATAGATGTGTAAATGGCTGATCATTTTTCATTCGCGTAGTACGCTCTTCCCTTTGGGGGGGGGGGGGGGGGGGGTACTGTCGTGAAATGATAGTCATTACACATCGGTTTGTAAGGCTGATAACCTGTCTTACCTGTAATCTGCACAAAATTCAAACTTGGACTCGCCCAGAAATATATAGTCCCTTATATCTATATATATAGGCCTGTATTGGACAACATTATTATGTCTGCCTTTTCTGGTTACTTTAACTAAACTCCACTTTTAAATGTATATCTTTTGGGGATATATTTAGGGAGTTAATTGAGGTTTCTTGGAAACCGATTTACTCCTTGCCCCAGTATACAAGGAACTTCTTTTGTACCAACGCCTGAAATGTCTAACTGACGCCATTCTCCTTGCCAGCTTCTCAAGCCTCCAGATGTGTTAATCTGTGCCTGTATACTTTAAATTTTCAAGGCAATCTGGATAGGGCAGTTTTACATATGCTTGGGTAAGTTAATTATAGTTTACGAGTACCTAGAATGTTGTCTGTAAAGTAGTCACTGCTGTAGAGAAATCCATATCGGCTGTGTGATCTCACTTAGTTCTACCATTCTTGATCGCTAGAGTAGCGGATTCGAACGTAGATCTTCCACTGTACAGACTAAATAGCTTATGCCCTCAATAAACCACCCATACTGATAAACATTTAATGCCCTTACAATTGTGTACGTTTTAAACTACTTACAGAATCTGTACATACGAGATGGGGACAGAATTGGGTCAGGGCTGTGTTAATCAAAGTATGTGTGTGCTTGACCCAGATCAATGAGTGCTGGGGCGGTTGGGAAAACTAGTGAATGCAGGTACTGACAGTAAATATTGGTGTTTGTGTGCAGAGTGAGGGGGATAGGGGGAGATGATATATGTGTTAGACCACGTTATCTATCTCCACTGCATATCTGACTTGCCTTCTCTTGCACTAAACAGACAGATAAAAATAGGAGACTTATGTCTTTTGGTCTGGAGAGGCAATCTGAGGAATGAAACAGGAGAGCAGGGAGGAGACAGCAGATGGGAGGTGATGACTTATGCTTGCTCTGTCTTTCCTGTCAAGATGTTACCCTATTGATGATGACTAATGCTGAGTTATTTTCTTGACAGGATGTATATTTTCTGAAGAGCTGGCAGAAGATTCACAGTCTCACCAACATCCACCAACATCCTACCACCAGAACCAACTTGTTACCCACCAGCTAACACCTGTGAAGGTTCCTGACATCTCCAAAAATGGGGGAGATTGTGCCTCAAACAGCTACCAGTGCCAGAGCTTAATGTGGCTCAAAGACATTGTGTGTCCTTACTGGTGATATAGACATGCTAGATAACGATACAGTTGCTGTATAGTGAAGTACTCTTGCTACTTGATCCAGTGGAGCAGAATTCCCAGAGTCAAAGACAGTCAAATCATCCGGAGCTGAGGGAGGCATCATAGACAGAGAAAAGAGAAGATAAGTCTAATGCTTCACATGATGTTGTGTTCCTCACAGCTCCCTATGTCCAATGATGAGAAGATGTCACCTCCAGGACCGGCTGTCTTTGTTTTTTGTATATCTTACTAAACTACATGTGATACTGATATTTAACCTGGGGGCTTTCTTTAATAGTGCCAATACTTGAGTTGCCCTTAGTTGCCCTACTCCAGAGATAAGTTGATCGTATATTGGCCACGGGGAATCCCTTAGACCAATACGAGCCAAACGACTCAACAAAATTATCTCTGAGTGCTGCTGGTTCTGAAGGAGAAATCCTTACATTAGGCACGTGACAGGAGTGATATGTGACAAAATCTACCCAAAGTATTTTAGAATTCTCGCCGGTGCCACAGAGCCTGTGCACTGTGCTGAGCTTCTTCGGACTCAGACTTGAGTTAGAAGAAAAACGGAGCACTTATGGGTTACTACCCGTGTGCCATGATGTTGATGTATTTCAATTCGACCGTTCTCTATGCAGGGGTATGTTCCAACCATCGCAGGCGTTTTTGCTCCAGTAGAATGTACATCGTTGGTATACCAGCTTTTCCAAGTACACCCATTCGTTGGGTACAAAGTCTTCCCACGATATACTAAAAATGTGTCTCACACAGCGCATGGGAAAAGTGTAAGAGATAGAAGTCCTGGTATCATAAATATCCTCAGATCAAAAACTCGTCATCCCCCATGTAGCATGCAATTTTTAGTTAATTTGAGCCACACCCTGGCTTTTGCTAGCTGCCCTAAATATAGCCGGGCCTGAAACATGGCCTAATGACTGAAGTGGTTTACGGGACCTCATCCGCATGGTGGCACTTTGTGTCACCGGGTGTTTATCACTTGTGAGATGTACTGGTGGGGCACAACTTACATACATACATACAGAATAATCCTATTTAAAACCTTGTGGGTTATAACTTCAATATCTAGGAAAGTGGAGCCCATTGTGACAATTGCAAAGGTTGATGGAAAGAAAGATAGACAAAGACAACGACAGAAAAGTCTTTTTTGTTTTCATAACAAGAGAGGCATCATACAAACCGATACCCGCTACTGAGGATAGTAAGATGTGGAAAAGTATTATTGTTAAGTCTGTAAGACTCTTGATGGTCATGATGATGATGATAATGTTGACGAAGATGATGATGATTTCGTAGATTACTCTGATAACAAATCTTACCTATAAATGCACTAACATAAGCAAACAAATTTCGCATTAGTACAGCAATACCGGCAGCAAACAAGACCACGAAGAGCCGCAGCAAGTTACGTTTCCAGTTGGGTATCTGTGCAACAAAACAAAAAAGGATATGTCACATACACAAAAAAGGTTCTTTCGTAATATGCCACCCCAGATGACGTCACATGAAAATCCATCATTTTAGAGGGTGGTAAGATTGGGTTCCCCCGCTTGTTGATGCACACACACCCAGGCTAGTTTTCATTTACGGAGTTCACGTGATTGTTCGAGCTTCGCCTGGTCCGACAGATATTTGGATTTTTCTCACAGATACTTCTGTTAATTTATTTTGTGTATTATTATTCGTAAGTGTACAACAGCCTATCTATATAATATACTGATAAAGGCTTTCTAGAAGCAACGTTCACTTATCGTTTGTGACTATGATAATGTGAAGCGACTAGTTCAATTTTTCGTTTGGTTTGATATCTTCCTGTGATGAATAGAAGAATACTGAAGTATTGGGGGGGGGGGGGGGTTACAACTGCCCCCCCCCCCACCCCACAGTGCTCACAAGCTTCATGTGGCTAGGACAGCGGTTCTCAACCTATGGGCCGCGACCCTTTCTTAGGTCGAACAATTCTCTCACAGGGGTCGCCTAGACCATCAGAGAAAACATAATCATTGAAGTAGCAACGAAAATAATTGAACGGTTGGGGGTCGCCATTACGAGATAAACTATATTAAAGGGTCGCGACATTAGGAAGGTTGAGAACCACTGATTTAGGACAATCGGAGGATGGTGGGCGGTAGTTAGGACATTCGGAGGATGGTGGACAGTAGCAAGGACAATCAGAGATTGATGGACGGTAGCAAGGTCAATCGGAGATTGATGGACGGTAGCAAGGACAATCGGAGATTGATGGACGGTAGCCAGGACAATCGGAGGATGGTGGACGGTAGCCAGGACAATCGGAGGATGGCGGACGGTAGCCAGGACAATCGGAGATTGATGGACGGTAGCCAGGACAATCGGAGGATGGTGGACGGTAGCCAGGACAATCGGAGGATGGCGGACGGTAGCCAGGACAATCGGAGATTGATGGACGGTAGCCAGGACAATCGGAGGATGGTGGAAGGTAGCCAGGACAATCGGAGGATGGTGGACGGTAGCCAGGACAATCGGAGGATGGTGGGCAGTAGCCAGGACAATCGGAGGATGGTGGACGGTAGCCAGGACACTCGGAGGATGGTGGGCAGTAGCCAGGACAATCGGAGGATGGTGGGCAGTAGCCAGGACAATCGGAGGATGGTGGACGGTAGCCAGGACAATCGGAGGATGGTGGACGGTAGGCAGGACAATCGGAGGATGGTGGACGGTAGGCAGGACAATCGGAGGATGGTGGACGGTAGGCAGGACAATCGGAGGATGGTGGACGGTAGGCAGGACAATCGGAGGATGGTGGACGGTAGCCAGGACACTCGGAGGATGGTGGACGGTAGGCAGGACAATCGGAGGATGGTGGACGGTAGGCAGGACAATCGGAGGATGGTGGACGGTAGCCAGGACAATCGGAGGATGGTCGAAGGTAGGCAGGACAATCGGAGGATCGTGGACGGTAGGCAGGACAATCGGAGGATGGTGGACGGTAGCCAGGACAATCGGAGGATGGTGGACGGTAGCCAGGACAATCGGAGGATGGTGGACGGTAGCCAGGACAATCGGAGGATGGTGGACAGTAGAGTCCCTAAGGAACTTCTTTGTGTTGAATTAAAGATTCCAGGGTCTGCCTCTACGACGATATACAGATATGTGCACGCGGGGCATGCATGATACAAGAACTGAGGTAGATACCTGGGAACAGGACGCTCTGGATCGTGTTGCATGGAGAAGGAAAGCCATGATAGGAACACGGAAAAAGGTGAAAATGATTGCATGTAGGTTTAGAGCTGGGGGTCTGAAAAGAAACATGTGTAATTGGCAACAATGATTTTGAAAATATTGTAAAGGACTTTTCTTAAAACGAACCGGTCTTGCCAGTTGAATTGGACATCGTCATGAAATAGGGTTCCCATGCCGGCCTGCCTAAAGCACTGTCCACTGTTAATGCAGTTCACTTATCATTGCTAATACACTTTGCAAATAAGACAAGAGACCAAGCAAGATAATGTATGCAATTTTAAAAGGAAGCGCCGCTGGAAGTATATCGGCCATGTACTCAGAATGAATGAGAAAGACCCCCCCCCCCCACCCCCAATCACGCCCTCATATGGACACCGGAAGGGAAAAGAAAACGGGGAAGACCAAGAGAGACCCTGTGTAGGGTCAGCCATGGGCCTAAAAAACATCACAGACCTACAACAGGTGGCAACGAACCACCAGACATAGAGAGCTATGACCTCTGCCCTACGCGCCGCCCTGGGCTCAAGAGGAAAGCTTAACTAATACACTTAAGTTGACTTTAGCGATCGCAAACATAATTTATTTGTCGTTCCTAGCAAAGTGTATTTATCATTACTAAAGCAGTTTATTTATCATTACTAAAGCAGTTTATTTATCATTTCTAAAAATATTTTATTTACCACCGATAATGCAATTGATTTATAATTACTAATTACAATGTATTTACCTTTGTTACGACTGTTTATTTACCATTGCTAACAGGTTATGTGTCATTCCTGACATACTTTATCATTGTTACTATAATTTATGTATCTTTGCCTGCACAATTTATTAACCGCTGATAAAATTTTTGTTTTTGTTTTGTTTTGTTACCATTGTTAACACACTTTATTTGTAAATGCTAACACTTTATCATTTCCAACACAATTCGTTTATCATGGCTACGCGGAACAGTTAAAAAAAAAAAAAAACGAGCATATCATTAAAGCACAAAAGGAATTCTGCACATGAATGTAACAACCAGATCTCAGCCCTCAAAAGAAAAGTAGGATGAGCATATAATCAGTTCGCAATTAGCACCTTATCAGCCTTTATGGTTTAGGTGTTTTGAATGCGCTTCGTAATTCTACGATACTCGATTCGACTCCGACTGTGGGCGATTTGTCAGCAGACCTCTTTGCTTTGATTTTGACAATGATATTAAAAGCAGATTGCTTAGAACAAAAACAAAAACAAAAACAAACAAAAAAAGATTCGTGGGGTGGTCCTGCAACGTCTTGTAAACTCATTTAAATTCAGCTCAATTTAATTCATCCTTAATTCATCTAGGGAATCTCACTCATACATTATATAAAATATGTAGTCGTCCCTATGTAGAATGCAATTTTTCGTTATTTGAGGCCTTACCCTGGCTTTTGCTGGGTGCCCAGAATATAGCAGAGCCATAAATATGGCCTAACGGCTGAAAGGGGTTTCTGATACCTCTCCACGGGTAATCCTCATCCGCATGGTGGCACTTTGTGTCACTGAGTGTTTATCGCTTGTCTGATGTCCTGGTGGGGTACAACGAGAGGGAATCTCACAGATATTAATTAACTTAGTAAAGGCAACATATACAGATATGAAAAATTGAGTTCTTCCTGATTCCCTAACATATACTTTAAAAAAAAAAAACAGTTGTGACACAGTGATGTCTTTTGTCGCCCTCCCTAATTTTACTAGCAATAGAATAGATTATAAAGACAGCAACTGCTAACATCAGGAATAGAGTTCAGTTGATCTCTACAAACAGCATGATGATCTGGACTTTGCTGATAATATTTCTCTTCTCTCCCACTCACCGAATCAGATGCAAGATAAACTAAACATACTTAAGGCGCGATTGCAACAGCTAGGTCTGAAAATCCAGTAGGAAAGGACAAATATAATGAGAATATATCAGGCAACTAATAAAGTAGTTTCTGTTAATGGTATTCCACTCCAAGTCGTGGAGTTGTGCATATATTTAGGCAGTAACGTAGATACATACAAATGGGGGAACTGATATAGATATTAAAAAACGAATACAAAAGGCAAGAGGAGCTCTCATAGCACTAGGGAATTTATGGAGGTCAAAAGAAATTAAGAATACACTTAAAATGTGTCATTCTAATGTAAAATCAGTACAGTTGTCCCCCGTGTGGGTTCCGGGGTCCCATTGTGGGGAAAACAAGAATAGACCCACTGCCTCCCCAAAAGCATGTCGTAAGAGTTAATTGGGGAACTTCCTTTGAAGTCGGAGTGCATCTGCCGGAGAGGCAAGGAATCAACAGTCTGTATTCAAGAGAATGAAATCTGTAAAACTGATGCCCACGCAACACACAGGTTCTGGAGCAGGACTGCAGTTCAGTAGTGGACGAGCCACCAGAACCTCCCGCCAGAGTTTACAGCTGGTAAACGCGAAGAAGAAGAAGAAGTACAGTTGTATGGAGCGGAATCACGAAGAACAACTATGACAACTATAACTGAATCCTGCGCTGAATAGAGGGAATGAAATGGTATGATAGAATCACTAATGTAGAGCTTTGAGAGAGAAATGAAAAAGTTCAAATGGACCAGGGGGTGAAGAAAAGATTCTGGCGTTGGATAAGACGCACATTAAGAAAACTTGAGAATGAGAACTAGAATGTCTTTGCACTGGAATCCACAGAGGCATACAAATAATTTAAGACGAAAAATTACATGGAAAAGGGAGTTAGAGAGTAAAGCTAAAAAGATGGGGAGGACATGGAGAGAGCTGTTTGCAAAAGCGGGGGAAATCGAGACTTGTGAGTTGTGGAGAGTCAATGCCCCATTGGGGAATAGAAGGCAGAAGAAGAATCACAAATACGTGTTGAGTGAGAACATATGAAAATAACCAAACACATGACTTTCAGAGTATGAGACTAACAGCTTACCCACCAAGAAAAAACTCTGGTGATTTCTTTTTAGCCAACCACTAATGACTTCACGGGACAGTCCACTATTTTAGAGGGTGGTAAGAGCGGGGCTTATCGTGGTTTCTGTGCTTTAGCGTGTTTCTTCCTAGGCCATGGCTTTCGTGCGTTTACCTAACCCTAACCCTAACCAAAACTATTGGCTACGCTTATTCTACCACGTCCTGAAATATTTGACTGTCCTGTGACTTGTGGATTCCCCCTGTGTGTGATCGGCTAATAAGAATGTACCAAGAACTCTTGATATATCAGTTGCATATTTTTAACTGATAGACTTTATACGAGATAATAGCTCTTATCTAGGTCTTTCTGTTGTAAGTGCTTCTGTAATAAACACGTCGTTGTGAGTTCAGGCCCATTTTGTGAACACTGTGTTAACCGGTACTAATTTTTAGAGGAAAAGAAATATCTCTGTTCTTATCTATATCTGCCTCACTTCATAAATCACATATGACTAATCCGTATATTTAATTATCATTGCTAATACAACTCGGTGTCAGTGAGCATACCAGCAAACAACAAGTTAGTTAGCACTGGGAAAGCATTCACCTTTTCTGGGGCAACATGTGGCTGTGAGTCATGGGCCATGTTTGGGCTTTTGAAATAAAATGTTTCAGACATCTTCTTACACCCCCCCCCCCCCCTTCATGCCGTGCACAAAAAAAAGGGAGAAAGAAATGACTGTCATTTGCGAATTTTAACCACTACAGAAAAGTAAAACACATTTTAAAAAAATGTGCCGACTCCGCACTGAAACTGGGCTACATTAGATATATGCATCTATAGCTGCCTAGAACTATTTCCTGATTAGGGTTAAATCTGTTCTATTGCGCGACTCGATGCCACTGCTAGAAAGCTATAGAAATGTTCTTTACCTAAACCGCTCGCCGAGCTAGAGTAAATGTGAGCTATCCAGCTGTGGTATGCCGAGTAAGTAAAAACTAAAGGACCCCTTTCCACGCATTTAGACGTATAGGGCATATAGGGTTAGACCTATATTTGTATAGACCAATCTGCAAAAGATGGGTGATGGGATCAGAGTTACGCCGGCGGCTTTTACTTCCCGGGACTGCACCCGGTACCTACTCAAGGCTGGGTCGACCTGGGAGTTAAGGTCATTTTAAAAAAGTCCGGCTTCGTCAGGGAGCGAACCCACGACCTTCCGATCCGCACGCGAGCGTCTAGCCGCTACTCTACGTGGTTGGTCGAGGATTTTGTGAACAGCAGGTAGGAAACTCTAAGCCAGTAGTCACCATATGGTCAAACAAAGAGGTTTCCATGGAGCGTCTAGAATTTATGTTAGTGAGTGCATCTGTAACTGTAATAATCCTAAGTCTGCTTTTAGTTTTAGTTTGATTATAAATATAATATTTTTGTCAACTATTTATAGACAAAGCGACATGAAAAGTATTGTTTTCATCGGTAGTTTGTACACCTACAGTTTAAAACAATCGAATTAATATGATAACAAATGTATTTAATTAAAGATTAAGAACAATTCTCACCAGAAAGTATCTCCTTACTTTCTGTGCCTGTTGTAGCGAAATTTATTGTCCTCATGTTTGTTATCACATTTTATTATCAGGAGATGGGGGGAGGCGGGGGGGGGGGGGTGGACTTGAGTGTCTTGTCTTATACTCAAAGGTGGGAATGGGGGGAGGTGGTTTAAGGGTCTAGCCGTATACTCAGGGAGGTGAGGGAATTAGGGGGGAGGTCTTGCCATAAAGGGATCTTGCCGTAAACTCAAAACAGGGTGGGGAGGGGGTGGCGTGACAGTCTTGTCGTATACTCACGGGGGCGTGAGGATCTTACCACATTCTCAAAGAGGGAACTCAAAAAGTTTGAAGACCACTGCTCTAAGCCAAAGAACCGCCAACACAGACATCTAACCAATAAACAGAAGTGTGCCTCGGAAATTAAATATACGAGCCCTGATCGAATCAAACTCGCCTCAGCGATTTGGCTACATTTATGCAGTTGATATTTTTAGCAAGTGTGGCGGAATTAAACAATGGAACTTTTAGGACGCAAGCCTGCAGTGAGGTTCGTTAGAAAGGGCTTGCCACAAGTATCCAAACATGCATCCAAAATGTTCAGAGAATGGTGATACCGTCCATAGAGAATTTTTGGTACTCGCTGAAGTAATTTATCACAGCTCCCGCGTCATGCGTCCAGTTTGTTTCAGAGAAGGGTAATACCGTCCATGGAGAACTTTTGGTACTCGCTGAAGTAATTTATCACAGCTCCCGCGACATGCGTCCAGTTTGTTTCAGAGAAGGGTAATACCGTCCATGGAGAACTTTTGGTACTCACTGAAGTAATTTATCACAGCTCCCGCGACATGCGTCCAGCTTGTTTCAGAGAAGGGTAATATCGTCCATGGAGAACTTTTGGTGCTCACTGAAGTAATTTATCACAGCTCCCGTGACATGCGTCCAGCTTGTTTCAGAGAAGGGTAATATCGTCTATGGAGAACTTTTGTGCTCACTGAAGTAATTTATCAGAACTTCTATGATATGCATCTAGCTTGTTTCATGGAATGGTGATAAAGTCCATTGAGAACTTTTGGTGCTCACTGAAGTAATTTATCACAGCTCCCGCGACATGCGTCCAGCTTGTTTCAGAGAAGGGTGATGCCGTCCATGGAGAACTTTTGGTGCTCACTGAAGTAATTTATCACAGCTCCCGTGACATGCGTCCAGCTTGTTTCAGAGAAGGGTGATACCGTCCATGGAGAACTTTTGGTGCTCACTGAAGTAATTTATCACAGCTCCCGCGACATGCGTCCAGCTTGTTTCAGAGAAGGGTAATATCGTCCATGGAGAACTTTTGGTGCTCACTGAAGTAATTTATCACAGCTCCCGCGACATGCGTCCAGCTTGTTTCAGAGAAGGGTAATATCGTCCATGGAGAACTTTTGGTGCTCACTGAAGTAATTTATCACAGCTCCCGTGACATGCGTCCAGCTTGTTTCAGAGAAGGGTAATATCGTCCATGGAGAACTTTTGGTGCTCACTGAAGTAATTTATCACAGCTCCCGTGACATGCGTCCAGCTTGTTTCAGAGACTGATATTACCGTCTATGGAGAAATGTTGGTGCTCAATGAAGTAATTTATCATAGTTCATGTTAGGTCGTATGATCTAATCAACAATTTAAATATTGGAAAGTTTATTACTGGGGTCCGCCTACAGTTAGATACTTAATTGCTTCCTCTTTGCTTTATCGTTCCACTGAATACAGACACTAAACTTACTGGTTCCAAGCTGCCATATAAGTAAAGTAAAGTAAAGATCACTTTTAACGCCTTTAGGCGCATCGGGCATATGGGAAGAGCAGCCATATTTGTATGTACCAATCGGCACTCGGTGAGTAATGTGGTCAGCATTACGCCGGCCGTCTTTACTTCCCCAGGACAGCCATCCTTGTACCCATTTAAGGCTGGGTCGACCTGCGACGTCCCATACCACGATAAAAATCCAGGCAGCCCGCAGCGGGTTTCGATCGAGGTTATTATTGTGGTTTCCTTCTTAAACATTTTCAAAAGTTTAGGTTTTTGGCAACTGACAATATTATATGGTGGCCAACCTCCACGACGAGATCTACCATTAGTCGCCTCTTACGACATATTAGGCAGTCTGCAGTGTTTCGATTATTTACCTCCAATGAAGTCATACAACGTGGATTTAACTGATTAATTCGTATATCCCTAACGATAAAAGTTTACACATCGCCTTATCTTAGCTGGTAACGTTAACTCACCTCATCCATAGCGTTCAGTTTGGCAGATGAAGGTACCACCAACTCATTCTTGGGTAGGAGGGCCAGCTTGTCCTCGCTACATCTCCTCCACCATGTCTGAAATTTACCACGTCCAAAGATTGCACCTGGGAGATATCATAGAGGTAAAGTTATGGTCATAATAAGACCACTAATGCAGAGCTGATGGGAGAACTAAACAAAAGTGAATCGACAAGAAAGAAAATACGAAGTGCTAGATAGAATACCCACTGGGATCATCTGAAAATAGTATAACTAAAATATGTATGTATCAGAACTTATACGACCAAGGAAACACACACATCCCCCTCCCCCACAGAGAGAGAGAGAGAGAGAGAGAGAGAGAGAGAGAGAGAGAGAGAGAGAGAGAGAGAGAGAGAGAGAGAGAGAGAGAGAAACAGAGATAAACGGAGAAAAGAATTAGAGAAAAAATAAAAGAAAACGAAAGAACGTACAAACTTTATTTTCAAAGGGTTTAGCATTGAGCACACACGCCTGTCTTATATTGTGCCCTTCTGGCTGAATCCTTGCATAAATTATTCCATGCATACATCGTATAACAGATAATAATAATACAAAACATCGTTAGTAACATTAAAGTCATAGTACACAAAAACTAGAATTTTCTCTGACTGTATCTATATTTCCAAACAATAAAAATACTAACTATATTAAATCTAGGGGAAATGCACTATATACTTAAAATGCAACAAAGTGAGTTGGACGTTTAAACAACGGATCAACATAAGTAACCCATAAGTGCTCCGTTCTTCTTCTAATTCAAGTCTGAGTCCGAAGAAACTCAGCACAGTGCACAGGCTCTGTAGCACCGGCGAGGATCCTGAAATACATTGAGTAGATTTTTAACTCCAAATTTTGCCCGGGCAGCGCCATTGGACTGCTCTTTTCGATTTTCCAGAATTCAGGGGAAATTACTAAAAGTCGAAGTACACGTGAAAAAAATCCCAGCCCTTACCAGGGATTAAACCCGGAACCACCAGCACTCGAGGCGGACACCTTGCCTCAAGACCAGGCAGCCCCGCCCCCACCCCCCCCCTTTCCAAAAAAAATTAAATGAAAATAGCCTAAATGTGAGCTGCAGAAACATGGCAAAAGACTGGAACGCTTGGCACATCGGCTGAAAACAAGCAGAAGAACCACCTCATGGATTTTTTAAAATGTAATTTTGCCAGGGATTGGATCCTGAAAATCCACACCCAGTCTCCCGCTTCTTCTTCGCGCTCACCGGTTGTAAACAAGCATGCCGTAAAGGTCAACTAATTAAAGATGTATCCTTTGAAGTCGGAGTGCATCTGTGCGAGAGGCAAGGAACCACCAGTCTGCATACAAACAAGAAAGACCTATAAAACCTTTTGGAACAAGACCAAAGTTTAGAAGTGGACGAACAGCCATAACTTTGCCGCCGTAGTTTTCAGCTGGTGATCGCCAAGAAGAAAACGAGAAGTCCGTACCACTGTATCATATAATGGTATCGCCCTTGTCACCAATCACTAGACTATAACATCTTTCAACGCGTATTATACTTGGATGTAGGCCCGTCTCTCTAGCGTAGTTGACTAAACCGGATTGCGCGGTGAGCGGGTGAAGCACTCCTTGTGGTCCGGGTTCACTCCCGGGGGTGGGCAGAAAAGCCACATTTCTCCCAGATTTACGGTATTTAAAATTGAATCAAGGCCCAAAGGTTGCGATATCCATATTACCGAGCCTAAGGGTTAACAACTCATGGCTTCTGGATGCTAAAACAAAAAACAAAAACTTGGATGTAGAAGAGACACAGCATGTAGGGCGATGCGCTACCTTCCTAATTTTCCAACCATGGAGGACAGAATTTAAATTTGCCAAGCAGGTGCTTACCTCAGAGTCAATGCAGATACACGACACCCACTGCATAGTAAAATTAGGATGGAAAAAAAAAGCAAGTTAAAAAATAGGAAAATCCTGGAGGGTTCAGGCCGAGGACATTAATAATAAGGTGTGCTCACTTGAGGACATAGAAACTGTTGAGGAATGGGTACAAATACCAAAGGAGAGCTGTATGACCTTTTCTGTGAGCACCCGCCTAGACAGAAAGTGCAGGCAAGAAAGTCCAGCAGCTGTTGATGCAGAAGTGCAGGCTTTGATCATCGTGAGTTCTCTACAGGGAGATGCTGTCATTTATACTAATGGGTCTGTAATTCGCCATGTGAGAAGCTGTTTGGCTTTTAAGGCTCAGGTTGTAGTTAGAGCAAGATTCTGGTCCTGTTTCCTTCACCACAAGTAGTCTGACTATGGGGATCATGACGGTGACCAAAGCAATAACATAGCTGGAGATACCGACTTTTTCCCCACACATGCTTTCTCAGTGACTCGATGAGTATGCTCAGAAAAATAGAGAAGGGATGAGTCCGAAGTCAGTGGTTGGAGTCTCTAAAGCGGTAGGGTATGACACAAAAAAGTTTCATATTTATGCCAGCCAGGGAAATAGGCAAGCTGATCGACTTGCAGGTAAAATTACTGTGGAAGGCGCACGAGCAATGGACCATGCTGTTACTATGAATGCTCTACTAGAAATAAGACGTTTGCGAGAACCAAGCGATGTCTGTGAATCATAAACCAGGACCGGATTGCTAGAACAATATGTTTAAAGGGGTATGGCCAGACAACAGCACTATGCAGGAAGCCAAAGAAGAATAAGAAACCGAAATTGAACTGGTGTCGTGAGTTGCTACACGCTGCAGGATTTACTAAGGAGGGAATCGAAGCACTTATGGACTAAATGGTTCAATGTATAATAAGAATGATCTGTGGACTAACTATCTTCCAAGACGGACTTACCTGGACGAAACAAGTAAATCTCCAAAAGTTCAGTTACTGGATAGACCTGAAGTGGGAAAGTGAGTACGACTCCAATACAAAGGAAAATGTTGATTGCAACGCCAAAGCCATCAGAGGCTGGGATGTGTTTATTCAGCATCTGTTCTGTGGCGTCTCCATTTGCCAAGTATCCCATGGTCCCAAAAACGGTCAGTATGAAAGTGAGAATGAGCACAGCGCCGTGTAGAAACTTCGAGAAGTTATGGCGGTTTCCCTCCATGCTGCATTCAATAGGAATTATCTGTTGAGAAAAAGGTGGGAGTGGTGGGGGGGGGGGATTGTTGTTAATCAGAAGACAGAAAGTTCGTGTTTTAGGACAGTTCAAATGAAACATCAGTGACTTTTCTTCTTCTTCGATCCTTCTGCTATAACATTCATACCAGGTGGTCGGTAGCCTTGATGAAAGCTATGGCACAATCCGTATCTTCCGGTGTTCCACACAGCCCTGCCTTTATTGAGCTCGGAACAGGCCAGATCACTTCTTTCTTAGCAGCATGCAGTTTACAGTGTTGGAAAGCTCTGCATTTTATGGTACGAAGTTACAGCAACGCATCTCCGTGTTTCCCTCACCGAAAAACTAGAACGTGTGGTGACGAAGACTGTTGAGCATGACCCACTGTTTTTCTATAAATCGGGCTATGTAGCACCTTCCGGAGAGAGCATTTGTGGTGGGTATCCAGCCACCTTTCTTGATATTAGTTTTTAATAAACGTCTTAGTCTGTTGGATGTTTGGTCACAATATGATGACGATTCACAAGCAACATGAAATAATATTTGTTAGTTAGTTGCGTAACCTTTTGCAGGACATTGCAGAACCAACCCCAGCATATTTTGTCTGTTGTGGTTTTTCAAGACAAATTTACGTCGGGTAGTTTGTCATTGCTTCTGGACGGTCGGCTTTTCAATACCACTGTCGAAACCAACGCAAGGCGCACGGCCCGCAGCTGGGATCTAACCGGACAACATGGCATTGCGAAGCGCGTCCACAAAGCCTAAGCCACAAACGCTGATAGAAACCACATTAATAACAGTAAATAACGCATAAATTGAATAAACAAGTTACATAAACTAAACTTCCCCCTGAATTCTAACAGAAAGCAGTAATATAATTTAATACAGAGCAGCAAACGAAACTGTTTGCGGATGACTACAATGTGATTGCCCCAGCTGAGATAGAACTATATTTAAAGAACTGTAATGAGCACAAGGCGAAGGGAAGATCACCCAACAGCGGCATCAAGAAATGAAGACCAACTTTATATAGGGCATTACAATTAGCACAAAGGCGAGCCTAACCCGTACATCTCTCAGAACAATACAGTGAGGTTTTTAGATAAGGATAAGAAAAAGAGGACAATGAGACATGGAGGAGGAGAAAAAGAATAGGAAAAAAGTTGAAAAACAAGAACATAAACAAGAACAAGAAGAACAAATATAAGAACAAGAGAAGCAAAAACAAGAAAAAACCAGGAAAAAAAATGGGGCATATCAAAAAGAAGAAGAAGAAGAAGAAGAAGAAGAAGAAGAAGAAGAAGAAGAAGAAGAAGAAGAAGAAGAAGAAGAAGAAGAAAAAGAAGAAGAAGAAGAAGAAGAAGAAGAAGAAGAAGAAGAAGAAGAAGAAGAAGAAGAAGAAGAAGAAGAAGAAGAAAGAAGAAGAAGAAGAAGAAGAAGAAGAAGAAGAAGAACAACAACAACAACAACAACAACAACAACAACAACAACAACAACAACAGTCAGAAGGGGTGGGGGGGGGGAGGGAGTGTGAGTGTAGTGGGTTAGAAATAAGACGGCCACCTTTAACTCAAGAAAAGATGGCATAATTGTCCTATTCAACTGTATAGCTTTTTTTTAACCCAAAAATAGAAGTGCGATATTTGCTAGTGCATTGATGCTGCCTCAGTGATAGCAACGCTCCAGCAAAGCTTCAAGGAAATAAGAAAGACTATCTGGGATCAACCGGACATTGCAGCAGAATATACAGAGAATCCATATATTGAAAGACTAATTCAACGGAAAAAGGGGCAGGGAAGTAATGCCTTGGAGTAGAGAGTCGGGAAGGATATTTAACACCAAGGGGAAAATATAGACGGACATTTAGTGTAGCCGGTACTATTAACGTGGCGACTCTGGCTGGCTACTGAGGAAGGAGACGGAGCACCTGTTGGAATGTCCCAAGAGAAATAATGTCAATTCATGATTCACTGAATCATTTACTTATTTATAAATTCAAGACAGAGCCTCAACATAGAAATATAATAAATACAGTACAATTGGCAATGTTCCACGAGCCACTTGTTAGGCCTCCGCGGACCGGACTGGTCCTAGGGATGCCAGATAAATAGCACTGATAGAGTACATTACCGTTTTATTGTACGATTTATACTGTAGGCAAGACTGTTGAAATGCTAGCAATACATGGTAAAATGCATTGAACTCTGCTAGCACACTGACACGTTTGAGGGATAGCATTTTCACACCAGCCATCCTTTGTTGGCTCTTACGACATGCACAGTATGTAACAATCTTATCATACCTTGTTCAGCTTATGGGACCTTTCACTCAAATGCAAAGAAAACCTGAATGACTGACTGATTACAATATCGGATATCATTACATACTTTCTTCGTGTGGACTCCAGGGCTCCATTGTGGAGGCGACGGATAGACTTAATGCCCACTAACAAGCATGTTGTAAAAGTAGACTAATTAGGGATTTTTTCTTCGAAGTAGGAATGCATCTGCTGAGAGGCAAGGAACCACCAGTCTGCATACAAATAAACTGGATATGTAAAACGGATTTACACTCAAAATCAAAGTTCTGGAACAAAAACCAAAATCCAGAAGTGGATAAACAACCAGAATATTCCGTCTGAGGTTACAGCCAGTGAACGCAAAGAAGACGAAGGACACTGCATACTTATCCTAGGATTAAAATAACAAATAGAAGGATACCATTAGGTGATGAACCAAGAGCAGCAGTCTCAGAAAATGTACATCTGGCACGAGAGGTTGAGCCTAATGAAGATCCACTGTAGTCAACATTCGGTTCTTTATTAATATCCTACCCCCAGATGACGTCACAGGACAGTCCAAAATTTTAAAGGGTGGGGAGACTGGGTTTCCCGGCTTTCTTATGCTTTTAGCGACCCCAAAACATTTAGAACTGGTCCTAATCCCAACCCACCTACGTCCCACGACAGAGTGCAGCCTAGGTCCCACGACTGCATGCAGCCTATCTACCACCCCCTGAAATATTAGACTGTTCCTCGACCTGTTGATTTACACTGTTTGGGGTAGGATATTAATAAAGCACCCAATCTTCAATGTGGAGACGGCTACTGGTTGATTTATATTTAAAATAACGAACTTACTGTTCCGATACCCTCATATGATGCTGTAGTCATCCCAAAAAATATTGGAAATGTTTTCAAGTTGAACAGTTCCCAAGATGAAGATACTTGGAAATCTGGAACATATATGGTGTCCACTTTTACAAACAATTGTATCAGGACTTATACAGCGTATTTTCAATATTCGTCATTAAATAATTTCTGAAGAAAGGGCGAATATTAAAAGGGACGAATATCAGTGTTTCACATTGAAATTGACTGAAAATGGTTTAATCCTTTTCCAGCCCCGAATTGTGCCTGACTATTCTTTTACTGTCGGCGTCTGTGGTTTAGGCGTTGCGAGCGCGCTTAGTAATGCCATGGTGCCGGGTTCGATCCCAGCTGCAGGCCTTTGCGCCTTGCGTTGGTTTCGACAGTGCTATTGAGATGCCGACCGTCCAGGAAGCATTAGCAAACTACTGGATGTAAATCTGCCTAGAAAAAAACACAACCAACAAAAACAAAAAAAAATGCTGGAGTTGGTTCTGCACCGTCCTGTAAAGGATACGCAACAAACTTATACTTTAAGGGTTAGAAAATCGATCTCATTAATCCTTGCAAATATATTTTAGTTACATAGTAACCACTGTACTCATTGTTTTATCATTATGACAAAGATTTACTAAACTTGATGTCGTAAATATACTGCAGGTGTACATAAATACACGTGATTTCCCAGCACTATGGCGTCCGTGGTTGAGGTGTTGCGAGTCCGACCCATTCCAACGTGCCGCGATCGAAACCCACTGCTGGCTGTGTGGGTTTTTATCGTGGTATGGGACGTCGCAAGTCGACCCAGCCTAAAATGGGTACCAGGATGGGCTGTCCTGGGAAAGTAAATACTGCCGGCGTAATGCTGACCGCATTACCCACCTAGTGCCGATTGGTCTGTAAAAATATGGGAATGGTCTTCCTATATGCCCCGATGTGCCTAAGCAGTAAAAAGGGATCTCTTCTTTGGTTAAGGTTAGTTGCGTATCCTCCACAGGACGTTGCAGAACCAACCCCAACAGCCCCTGGGCTGTTGTGTGGTTTTTCTAGGCAAATTTAAGTCACGTAGTTTGCCATTGCTTTCTGGACCGTCAGCTTTTTTGATACCACTGTCGAAACAAACGCAAGGCGCATGGCCCGCAGCTGGGATCGAACCCGGCATGCCGGCATTACGAAGCGTTCGCATCGACTTAGCCACAGAGCCGACCGATCTCTTCTTCACGCTTACTTATTTCCCAGCACTTGGTTTTTTTTTCCAGATAGTCTAAACACATCGTCATCAATGAACCGACTCGTGATTTGTTTGCTTAGGTGTCATTGATTGAAAATTGCATGTTTGCTCACTTGGATAGCCATTCCTTAATTTAAGCTAGTCACATTTCCATTGTGTGTGTAATCGGGGTCCTTTAAGGAGGTGTTGAGTTGAGGTAAAAACCTTCATCATCGCACTAGGGACATTCCCACAAGTGATCCGTCCCCATCTTCAGCAGCCAGCACAGAGTTCCAATTCTTATCAGTAGCAGTCATGCCTTTAACCTGTGTGTTGAGTATTGGCCAAATCACTGGAGACTCCCCCAACACCCCCCCCCCCTTTCGGTGCACCATTTTCTTCACATCTCTATGACCTGTTTTTGCCTCGACAACTGTTCACCCGGGAACCGCTTTGGTGTAGCAGCTAGACTCTTGTTTGCGGATCTGAACGTCAAGAGTTTAAATCCGCACGGAACAGGCTTTTTCCCCTTCCAAACACGACTTTGACTCCTAGGTCGACCCAGCCATAATATGGGTACTGGGTAAGGTCCTGGAAAGTAAAGGTGGCGGAGTGATGTTGACCACATTACCCATCGAGAAACAATTGGTTTTAAAAAAAGAAAATAGTTTTGCTGCATATTCGCCATTGGCGTCCAATCGGACTTTGCTGTTCACTCGCTCCGAAAGGACTTTGATATCATACAGCGGCTTCAGCGACGAAAGAATCAGTCTTAGTCTTAGTCAAGGTTTTAACCTCACCCCAATTGGGCCAACCTATAGTTGCTTCGTTTCTGTGCCAGTGAAAATCAAATGAGATCAAATTAAATCAGATGAGGATAGGAATAAGGAGGTGGAGGAGAGAAAGAACTACGAGGGGAATAGTGGAAGATATTAGCGTATTGAAGCTAAAGTGGTTTTTATTTGTTTACAAAGGATTATATCGTCATATTTATCCACAGTCAAGCTGTGGCATAGAGGTTGATATACGCAACAGACATCCAGAGCTTTAGGAACGTGCATATGCGTTGTGCAGGCCGCACCGGCTGTTATCAATGACACAAAGGTGAAAAATTAATAAGTAAAGAACTCTTTTTTCGAATGTCTTATCTCAAAACGCCCGAAAGCGTTAAAAAAAGAATCTTTTACTTATCGTTAAAGAGTCAAGAGAATCTCATGAAAATAAACGTCGATCACATTTTCATAGTTTCGTGCCATTATCCCTTATGTGTTGTGGCTTGGAACGTGTGAAGAGTTAACATTTCACACCTCGAAGGCTGTAACTGGGATTGGACTTAAGATACGTTGTGAAGCATGTGGCATATCAGAAATATGATGCTAGATTTACACTTTATAGACCAATAGACACTCAATGGTTTATGTAGCCAACATCACATCGGTTACCGCTACTTCCCAGTACATTTCCTGGTACCTATTTTTAAACTGTTGACCCTTGAGCCAATGTCATTTCTGGCTTAAAATCTTACTCTCGGTGGATTCGAACACAAGCAATTAGGATTTGCTGTCAATCGTCTAGCCACTACCTCACCGTGGTTCCCGTTTTTACATTTTTTAAACACTTTAATTGTAAATTATGATTAACTTACCTATAGAAATATAAATCATTGTAACTATACAGCCGAGAAATAGAGACACATCAGCGCCAACACTGACAAATCCAAGATGTCTAACACTCTTCAATAATGCGAAAACAAAAAATACCGGAAGAGGCGAAATCACCAGCAGACGAAGATCTGGAGCGTCACTGATAAGGATATAGCTTGATGAATTATCCTTTGGCGGGATAGACGAATTTGAAACTAATGTCACCAGTGAGATTTCATCCCTTTCTTCTGAAGATTCATTGTTTTGCATCAGCATTGAGTAGTCAACGTTGTCAGTTAACAGAGATTCGTTGTTTTGAGTGTAGTCTGTGCTTATATTTTCTGATGTCATGGAAGATACATATGTCGCCATAGACGGTTGTGTAACGCCAGTATTCAACGTAACATTTGTAGAAGGAAACAAAGAAAACAGCGTGTTTCCTATAAAAATACAATATCCAATACAGAAACCAAACTGGGTAAATATAACACAAGCATTTACTATAAATGCACCGAAACGCCCACATGCTAGTTTGCCTATATCTCCGTAAGTTATACTGCGTGTCATGTGTTTGATAATTTCAGCTGATTCTTGTCTGGACCTCTCAGTTTCGTCTTCAGATTTCTCGAATGGTTTCAACGATGAATCAGTTTTCAGTGAACTGAGCGAAGATGTGGAGTTGATCTGTCTGTCTAAGACAAACTGAATGGCGTGGTATTTACATTTGACAATCAGGTCGCAGCAGTGGTCGGTAATGAAAGCGATGACCAGCAATCCAACAAGACCTAACTGAAACAGAAGCAAACATATTTCATACATTATCAATACTATCAATATTCTTTCCAACGCTATGCTATCAATGTCAAACATGGACACTGTATTCAGAAGACAGAAAGACAATAGTCACCACATAAATGAAATGTTTACGTACTATAGTAGCTGTGACAAGGAAAAATCAACTTAGGAATGATGATATCAGGAGGAGATTCGGCACAGAATCAATACTGAACTTTTTAGGTAGACAACAAATCAAATTGTTTGGCAATGTAACAAAATCTCAACAGACAGAGCACCACATAGAGCAATTTTATTCAGATACAATGTAACCTATCTAGAGGTCGACCACACAGAATATGGACCGCAGAAATATCAGACACTGAAAAGTACTTTATATGAAGCAAACAGAAGGGCCGGTTCCAGGCATCTCTTCCTGTATTGACGAAGCGAGGCATTCCAGGAGTAGAGAAAAGAAAAGAAGAAGCTGAATAACATCATGTTATATTTTAATGTTTCCTTTACAACGAGACGGCGTCTGTGGCTTAGTCCTTGGGAACGCTTCGTAATGTTCAATCCCAGCTGCGGACGATCTGTCTTGCTTTGGTTTCGACAGTGATAATGGGAGCTGACCGCTAGCTAAGGAAGCAATGGCAAATTACTGAACGTAAAACTTGCTTTAAAATACCACAATAGCCAAAAAATGCTGGGGTTGGTTTTTCAACGTCGTGCAAAGGATACGCAACTAACATTAACTTTACAAAGAAGGTTATAAGCACCGGTATCTGGCGGCGACGGCACCTTGAGTTGTCCCCCCTCTCCCGCAGTTTATCTAAGTGGGGCTTGTCCACCCTGGTCTAATGGCTGAACGCGGTTTGTGGGACCTCTCCACGTGTGATCATAATCCACATGGTGGCACTTTGTAGCATCGGGTGTTTATTGCTTGTGTGATAGCCTGGTGGGGTAAAAGAAGATAGAATTCCAAACTTGCTCCTCATTTCCCCAGAAAATGTTATGGCCTTTTGCTTGTGACAGTCATTACGATAGTGAGGTGTCGGAGACGAATGCTTTTTGGCACAATGTTGTGAGGGTGGTAGGTAAGCGAGAAGATAGGTCTGTTGTGGTGACGTTTAGGCTTGGAAGTGAAGGCTTCAGCACGACCTGCAGACCTTGGACAGTGAAAGGCAGCAGATAAAATATGTTCAAGAAATCTCAAAGCTGGAATTAATCCGGCATTTCCAGTGCCCTATTATAGAAGTCGTTTTCTGCTGTGACAATCTACGAAAGCGTAAAAGTTGGGAGAAAAGAATGGAGTTCTTGCCGGAAAAAGGATGGGAGGATGTATACAGAAAAAAGCATGGGAATCAGTAGGCTTGTAGATATATACTGAGGTCTGGAGACTTTAAAAATGCACAGACGACGGCGAAATGCTGGAAGCGAGTCGGATGCTGGTAAGGAAGTTAGAGAAAAATTTCACTTCTTAATTGAGTGGTATCAAGAATCGATGTTTAGTTAGCAGTGGCAAATTAGTGAACGTAAAAATTGTCTAGAAAAGCAAAACCTCCTAACAATGATGGGGTTTGTACTGAAACGTCCTGCTAAGAATACGAAACTAACCAATTATATGTATGCGTGCCCCTTTATAGCTTATTAGAAGGTTGAAATGGAGAGTATGGGATATGTCTGTGTTGTTGAAAGACCAGACGCGGCTTATCAGGTCACTAGGGTGTGAAACCCTCAGGTAGCAGGCCAACCAGAGAACACTGACCGTCATAACTTTTATACTTGCTTCAAGGTGTGCTTGAGTTCGCGCGTGTGTGTGTTGGCCTCAATGGTAACATCAGAATTTTAATTGCGTCATTGTCATTAAGCATCTGCTGTGAACCAGTGAAAAAGAAAGAGTCGGTCGAGGGACTTACGTCTTGTCTAAATGCGCATTAATAATAATTAAGCGTCCATACATTGTTTAAAAAAAAAGATGGAAACAGGAGAGAAAAGGACACTTAGCATTCTTGCAAATGGTTTGGGCCGAGGGTGGGAGCTCAACCCCAACAAACACTTTTCCCTGCTCCCCTGTTTCTGATACAGATGCCTTTCCAGAATGCCAGACAGTCCATTGCAGTCTCCCTTGCCCCTCCTCTCTCTCTCTCTCTCTCTCTCCCTCTCTCTCTCTCTCTCTCTCTCTCTCCCTCTCTCTCTCTCTCCCTCTCTCTCTCGCGCGCGCGCTCTCTCTCTCTCTGTACCCTGCTTCCACTTGCTTTCCCTGACATCTTGCCAGAAGTGATAAGAAATGTAAAGCAAGAAGCAAATATTTCCAGTATTTTAACATGCCAAATTGTTTTTCTGTATTTTACTGATGTCGGCATCCGAGGCTTACGCGTTGCGAACAAGCTTCGTTATTCTGAGGTGGCCGGTTCGAATTCCAGCTGCTTACGATTTGGCAGCAGACCGCATTGCCTCGATTTTAACAGAGGTATCGAGAGCCGACCGCTAAGGAGCAATGACAAACTTCGGCTCTCCTGTCAACTACGGCCCGTAGACAACAGTAGACGGCCGGTTAGTCAGAGTTCTGTCCCTTGGCTACAGTGCAATTACGGAGTGGAAAAGGAGGGAACGAAACAATTGACACAATTACTGCGTGTTGGCGATAGACAGCGTGCACTGTCCTGCTATAATCATACGGTTACGGTTAGGGTTTGGGTTAGGGTTAGGGTTTGGATTAGGGGTAGGGGTAGGGTTAGTGTTAGAGTTTGGGTTAGCGTTACGGTTAGTGTCGCCGCATCTTGTCTTCGCAGAAACTCAAAGTAGCAACTCAAACCCTAACCCTAACCCTAACCCACACCCTACCTCTAACCCTAACCCAAACCCTAACCGTATGATGACAGTAGGGCACTGCACGCTGTCTATCGCCAACACAGTAATTATGTCACTTGTTTCGTTCCCTCTAGTCCACTCCGTTATGCGTCGCAATAAGCGGTAATTGAACGCGGTCGCTAATTTGAGTCGCAGCGCCGGTTCTGCCAGGCATGTTGACCTCACTTTGTTTTTTGATTCGTGAATTTTCCACTCCGTAATTGTACTGTAGCCGTAGTTTACAGGAGAGCCCAAACTTCTTCTTTTTCTTTGACCCTTTTCCACGCCTTAAGGCATGTAGGGCTAGACCTATATTTTTATAGACCAATCGACACAAAATGGGGAGATGTGGTCAGCATTACTCCGACCGCCTTTACTTCCCGTGACTGCACCCGGTACCTACTCAAGGCTGGGTCGACCTGGGAGCCAAGTTCTTTTTTTTTTAAAGTCCGGTTCAGCCAGGGAGCGAACCCACGACCATCCGCTCTGCGGCGATTGTCTAGCCGCTCCACCACAGCGACTCCCAATGACAAACTACTGAACGTAAAATTGCCTAGTAAAACCAATACAGCCAACAACTGCTTAATTAAGGGGGATGTACTTACAACAAGTCCACTCTGTTTGAACCCATATGCAATAGTCAGATAGTTAGATCCCATGAAAGCCTTGACGATGTTGGCGAAGTCACCGACCAGGATGTGCCATCGAGGTTTGCTTCTGAAACATTGACAAATACAAGTGATTTAGATCCGTGGTCTTCAAACCATGGGCCAGCCACGGTGGTGGGCTGCATACAGTTTCTGCCTAATCATGTAACTGGGTAGGGTGGGTCGTCCCGTTCCCCCCTCCACCCCCCTTTCAAGGATTGCAGTCCCATTCACTTAGCTTAGTTCTCTTTATGCTAGTGCTCATGAAGCAACAGAGAGGACTTTCCATGCCTTCTTGTCCTCTGCAATCTTCAGTGCAGTTTTCCATGTTAGAGATGCAGCACTCAGTTCACTTTCCATCGTTCGTCTCGATGTTGTTTTTGGGCGTCCCTTCTTTCTCTTTCCCTCTGGCATCCAGGTGAGAGCTGTTTTGGCAGGTATATCAGGATTCATTTTCATAACATGGCCAAGCCATTTCCATCTTCTCTAAAGTTTCTTGGTTTGTGACTTGAAGTAGTTTAGTGTTTGAAATTTATCTAGCCAGAAGATTTTGACCAAATCTACGTAGACATGTGTTATGGAAGGTGGATAGCTTGTGCTTGAACAAAGCTAGAACCGCTTTTGGAAGGATGAGGCAAATCTGGAAATCCAACATTTACTGAAAAGGAACGACACTCCGACTCTACAAGAGAGTCATTTTGCCAGTTCTTCTTTATGGAGCAAAATGCTACAGAATGACAAGAAAGGAAAAGGATTTACAACTCAAGGATGAGAGAACGAAACAGGTACATACCCCATTCAACCACATATAACCGTTTTTAGGGCACTCGACAGTTCAATAACCTGTATACAAGTCTAGGCTGGGGATATGGGCTATAATTCAACTAGCGGAGAGTTAGAATTCATTCCTGGCATTCTGATCTATACAGTGGAAATGCGGGTTTACTGTTTTCTGTAGTGCCAAGTTTTTTCTTCTGACAATAGTTAGCTGCGATTCCCTTGTTACCTGATACTTAAACACGTCTCCGTGAAATGTGGTTGCTAGTTTAGAATAACAGAGGCACCAGAAGATCTGCATTTTTGTTTGTTTCTGTATTTGGTCAACTATCAGATAGGCCGTGAAACAATTTCCCTTATGTTGGCGGGCCGCGGGTATAAGAAGGTTAAAGAACACTGGCTCAGATCAGTGTTTCTCTACACGTGCAGTCCACCAGAACAAAACAAATTGTTTTGCGGACTACCTGCCATCGAACCAAACACAGACAGCACATTAAATGTAGTTAGCAGTTTTTTTTTTTCCAATAATACAGAAACCATGAGTTGTAAACCCTTTGGCTCGGCGCTATGGATATCGCCTTGATTCCATGATAGATCTGAGAAATGTGGCTTTTCTGACCACCCCCAAACGCGAACTGGTCGAACTAACGCACGGGAGATCGCTTATTTTTTAAATCCATCATCATCATCATCAAGTGCCAGCTGGCATAAGCGTTCATGCATCTCCTACAGATCTCGCTGTTTGGTATTCTGGATCAACTCCACTAATGATATTCCTCCATACCGCTGTGTTAAGTCATCTACTATCGTTTCTCTTGGTCTACCTCTGCCTCTTCTACCAGTAATCTTTCCAGACGTCACGATATTTTCAATTGCTCCTTTTCTCAGCACATGGCGGAAGAATTTGTTTATAACTCACAGATGGATATTCTTGTTCTAGTGCTACTCAGACAATGATTGCATTTTATGTCTGGTCACAAGACTGGCGTCAGGAACCAACTCGATCAGTTTTTTTTAATTTCCATAATGAGCAAGTGCGCATAATCTTCTAAAAACGTATTATCAATCCGAACGTTGTCCTTGTGAGGATTATAATTTTCAGGGAAACAATTGTCAGTTTTCAGTTAACTCCTTCAATTTTCTGTTAACGCTTTCAAATACTGATATGCTTGTGTGTGTGTGTGTGTGTGCGTGTGTGCGTGTTTGCGTGCGTGTGCCTGTCACTTTCTGGTTGAAATAATAAGAAATAAAAAAAATTTTAAAAATCCCAAAAGCAGGAACTTTTATATATCTTTTTCTTGCATGGGGCCATCCCAGAAGAGCCAGTTTTCAAGTGCAAAGATATTTGTTGAAGTTACCTGAAGAACCGACTGGACATTAGTGCGGTCATCCAAACAGGTTTGAGGTTTCAGGTTTGAACAACGGATCAACATCATGGCACACGGGTAGTAACCCATAAGTGCTCCGTCCTTCGCCTAACTCAAGTCTGAGTCCGAAGAAGCTCAGCACAGTGCACAGGCTCTGTAGCACCGGCGAGAATCCTGAAAAACGTTAGGTAGATTAACTCTAAATATTTTGCGCGGGCAGCGCCGTCAGGCTACTTTTTTCGATTTCCAACTGCCAAGGGATCTTTTTTTTTTTTTTTACGTGCGCAACAATGCACACAGGCGTCCGATCTCAGTACCCAGAGACCAGGGGGGCTTACTAGAAGTCCAAGTCGACGTGAACAAATCCCAGTCCTTACCTGGATTGAACCCAGAACCTCTAGCACTCGAGGCGGACACCATGCCTCGAGACCACGCATTCCAACTCCATCCAAACAGTGACACCTGAAGTACTCAGACGGACTTTCCACAACGTTTAACGCCGCGTCCAATGCTGCCTGGACGCCAATGGTGGCCATTTCCACCCGACTTTGCCTAAACGGAGGTAAGTCCACTATAAATTTCGTTGCCATATCTTTATTTTTTTCCAAGTTGTTAACGAAATATTGGGTTCTGCCCCGAGTGAAACACCCGATATGACTGACTGACTTTCTACCCCACCAGGACACCACACAAGCGATAAACACCCGATGACACAATGTGAAACCATGCGGGTGAGGATCACCGTGGAGAGGCCCCAGAAACCGTGTTCAGCCTTTAGGCCAAATTTATATATTGCGGCCCCTGGCAAGAGCCAGAGTAGGGCTTCAGACAACCAAAAATTCCATCCTAAAAAGGACGGGAAGTGGAACATAATAACCAACACCCGATATAAATTATACAACATAAAACCTATTAAGGAAGTGACCGGTTTCTTTAGAAAACCAAGTTGATGGAAAATGTTTTTCACGCCAGTGTGGCATCAAGCATATTGTGCAAGACCTATATATATATATATAATATATATATAACGATTAGTGATCGATGGGTAATGTCTTGTACCTTACGACGGCCGCCTTTACTCCACCTTGCATTCCCTCATACACAGTTTAGCTTAGGTCGATCTGGAAGCCAGTAAAAGCAAAAAGCAAAGGAATCTCTCTCACGCCTTCAGACGTAGATAACGTACCGCGTTAGACTTCAACTTTATAGACCAATCGGCACTCCGTGAGTGATGCGGTCAACTTTACCTGGTACCCATTTAAGGCTGGGTCCACCTGGGAACCAAATCCAATTGAAAAAAAAAAAAAAAGTTAGGCTCTGTTTAGATTTGAAACAATGACCTTCAGACCCGCCTGGAAGCCTGTGTCAATTAAACGCTTAAAATCTCTTCTTTGTTTCGAATATAAACCCTAGACTATCAGGCAGGTAGTAGAGCGTCATGCCACGGCCCCACCGCGGCTCTCCAAAACCTACTTTAACACTCTCAGTCCCACACAGCTGTTATTTTAACCCTTTCGTTTTCAAAACAATCGAGCTTAAATACAGTAAATATCAAGTCTAAAGATGTTCAACATAAACCCTATGAGACGGCAGTAGTCAAACTAATTCAGATATAAATAGTTAACATAGCTTTTATCTGTGATAGACCACAGCATGAGCACCTTCTTATCTTTAAGTTGACCATGACACGCATGACGAGTTGCTCGGTACTGAAAGAAGATTTAGTTGAGACTGGCAGCTTTGTTTTAGGATGAGTCACATATAAGAAGTTTAGGGAACAAAACAAAAACAAACAAAAGATACATTGGCACGCTACTCGGTGGATTGCCAAAATGGTAGCATCTATAGCTAGAGCCTTACCACACATGACACGCACGAAAACACACACGCATACACACGCACGCTTACACACACGCACATACTGCAGAGACCACTTTCTCTCACACTCACACACACACACACACACACCTACGAGCGCGAGTACTCTATCGCATATACATCATAGGTCAGATGCTTGTACATTAACACACACTTTTATCTATCTATCCATCTATCTATCTATCTATCTATCTATCTATCTATCTATCTATCTATCTATCTATCTATCTATCTATCTATCTATCTATCTATCTATCTATCTATCTATCTATCTATCTATCTATCTATCTATCTATCTATCTATCTATCCATCCATCCATCCATCCATCCATCCATCCATCCATCCATCCATCCATCCATCCATCCATCCATCCATCCATCCATCCATCCATCCATCCATCCATCCATCCATCCATCCATCCATCCATCTATCTATCTATCTATCTATCTATCTATCTATCTATCTATCTATCTATCTATCTATCTATCTATCTATCTATCTATCTATCTATCTATCTATCTATCTATCTATCTATCTATCTATCTATCTATCTATCTATCTATCTATCTATCTATCTATCTATCTGTCTGTCTGTCTGTCTAATCTGTCTGTCTGTCTGTCTGTCTAATCTGTCTGTCTGTCTGTCTGTCTGTCTGTCTGTCTGTCTGTCTGTCTGTCTGTCTGTCTGTCTGTCTGTCTGTCTGTCTGTCTGTCTGTCTGTCTGTCTGTCTGTCTGTCTGTCTGTCACACATGCACACATACACAAACGTACACAAACGCATTTACATAACAAACATTCATAGGCCATGTACTCGCTCACACTCATAGCTGGAAATGTATGTTCACTTTAGCTGGTGACTAACATGTCCGTTAGTCACTGCAACTGATACACTCATGTTTGTGAAACTTGATCTTCACGGTATGTGTGTGATTGCATCTTCTATGAAGTCATCAGAATTGTCATCACGTGATGTACTGGGCAGCTAGCGTCTAGTCATCACTCTCATCATTATCACATATCATGTTTGGCAGCGTCTAGTGATCACTATTATCATCGTTACATACCATGTTTGGCAGCGTCTAGTCATCACTGTTATCATTATTACATACCATGTTTGGCAGCGTCTAGTCATAACTACTATTATAATCGTATACAATGTTTGGCAGCGTCTAGTCATCACTATTATCATCATCACATACCATGTTTGGCAGTGTCTAGTCATCATTATTATCATCATTACATACCATGTTTGGCAGCGTCTAGTCATCAGTATTATCATTATCACATACCATGTTTGGCAGCGTCTAGTCATCACAATTTTCATTATCACATACCATGTTTGGCAGAGTCTAGTTATCACTATTATCATCATTACATACCATGTTTGACAGTGTCTAGTCATCACTATTATCTTTATCACATACCATGTTTGACAGCGTCTAGTCACTACTATTATCTTTATCACATCAATTGTTTGGTAGCGTCTAATAATCACTATTGTCATCATTACATACCATGTTTGGCAGCGTCTAGTCATCACTATTATCATTTTCACATACCATGTTTGGCAGGGTTTAGTCATCGCTATTATCATAATCATATACCATGTTTGGCAGCGTCTAGTCATCACTATTATCATTATTAAACACTATGTTTAGCAGCATCTAATCATCACTATTACCATTATCATATACCATGCTTGGCAGCGTCTAGTCATCACTATTACCATTATTACATACCATGTTTGGCACCGTCTAGTCATCACTATTATCATTATCACATACCATGTTTGGCAGGGTCTAGTCATCACTATTATCATTATTACAAACCATGTTTAGCAGCATCTAGTCATTACTATTATCAAAATACATACCATGTTTGGCAGGGTCTAGTCATCACTATAATCATTATCACATACCATGTTTGGCAGCGTCTAGTCATCACTATTATCATTATCACATACCATGTTTGGCAGGGTCTATTCATCACTATTTCTATTATCACATACCATGCTTGGCAGCGTCTAGTCATCACTATTACCATTATCACATACCATGTTTGGCACCGTCTAGTCATCACTATTATCATTATCACATACCATGTTTGGCAGGGTCTAGTCATCACTATTATCATTATCACAAACCATGTTTAGCAGCATCTAGTCATTACTATTATCATAATACATACCATGTTTGGCAGGGTCTAGTCATCACTATAATCATTATCACATACCATGTTTGGCAGCGTCTAGTCATCACTATTATCATTATCACATACCATGTTTGGCAGGGTCTAGTCTTCACTATTACTATTATCATATACCATGCTTGGCAGCGTCTAGTCATCACTATTACCATTATCACATACCATGTTTGGCAGTGTCTCTTCATTTCTATTATCATTATCACATACTATGTTTTTCAGCGTCTAGTCATCACTATTATCATTATCACATACCATGTTTGGCAGCGTCTAGTCATTACTGTTATCACTATCACATACCATGTTTGGCAGCGTCTAGTCATCACTATTATTATCACTACATACCATGTTTGGCAGCGTCTAGTCATCACTATTATTATCACTACATACCATGTTTGGCAGCGTCTAGTCATCACTATTATCATTATCACATACTATGTTTGGCAGCGTCTAGTCATCACTATTATCATTATCGCATACAATTTTTGGCAGCATTCAGTCATTACTATTATCATCATCACCCCCAACTTTGAAGAAAAAAAAATTCATTGAAACTGACTTCAACCGCACTAGGACATCACACCGAGCGATTAACACCCGGTGACACAAACTGCCATAATTCGGATGAGGATCACTCGGGGAAAAGTCCCAAAAACCCCTTCAACCCATAGATTGGGTTATATTAGGGCTCCCGGCAACAGCCAGGGTGGGGCTTTATAACAACAACAATATTGCCTCCGACGTTTGGATGCTGGTGTTGGCAATTCACAGAAACACTTTTTTTCCCGCCAAAAAGCACACATAATTCGGAATACAAAAATACGAAACAAAATTCGCATGTTTTTATGTATCACTGTAATAAAATATTCTGCTAACTCAGGCAGCGACACCGCCCCCTTTTCTGTAACAGACTGCCATTAATAAATAACAATTTTTTCATGCGTTTGGAACAAGCAAACCAAGACGATACATTACCTGCTGCGGTCCACCATTTCCGTAACAATCTCTTCACTCGCCATTTTAATTAAAAACAATGTAAATCCAGCGTTAGAAACCCTCACAATAAGAAGAAGAATTCATTCCGTGTGGTGCGTGGTAACGGCGTGAACCTATGAACTATGCTAATCATGTCACCGCGGATGACTGGGCTATTATTATCTAATTAATGCAGTGACTGTAACTGTATATACCTAGTTCAGGTCTGATATAGAAATATAGATAGGTAAAGGTAAAGTCTGGAGATGTGGACCAGCGTCATTGCACACGGTTATAAACCTTAAGTGCTCTATTACCAGTACGGACAGCTGATAAGAAACTGTCAGCCTGTGTCGCTGTCCGCACGCAACTCTGTAGCTACAGCGACGTTCCTTAATTTACCCCAGAGTGTTAACTCAGGTACCCATTTCCTAGAGGCTGGGTGAACCCCGGGAACCGCCAGGTTTCGAACACCGGCTGTGGGCTGTAGCGAGCCGCAGCTGGATTTGAAAGCGACTCTCCTATCGACTGCGCTAACGCGGCCCCGAGTATATAGATAGTTCAAAAAAATAGTTATATGAAAAATAAACTAACATGCCTTGCAGGTGATGGGAATCGCATGTTTCTTCTATTCTTTTGCTAAATATGTGTGGTTAACAGTGGCTAGCATTTCGAATAATCATTTATTTATTTACCACAGTCCTTGCCTCATTGTGAAAACAGTTTTTATTGTTGTAAGCATTTTTGTCTAGGTAAAAACCGGTTGGCATTACATTGCAACTATGCTCCAGTGAAGAAATCATTGTGGCATGGAGACCTCGACGATAGGGGTATGCCTCGGTCTGTGTGTGTGTGTGTGTGTGTGTGTTTGTGTGTGCGTGTGTTTGTGTGTGCGTGTGCGTGCGCGTGCGCGCGCGCGCGTGTGTGTGTGTTTGGTGTGGTGTGGTAAGGTGTGTGTGTGTGTGGTGTGGTGTGGTGTGGTGTGTGTGTGTGTGTGTGTGGTGTGGTGTGTGTGTGTGTGTGTGTGCGTGCGTGTGTGTGTGTGTGTGTGTGAAGAGTTTTACATTCTTCTTTCATTTTTCCCCTGCATGTCTTGACCTTCTTTCTGATCTTTTCCTGTTCTTTCTCACGTTCTATCCTCATTTTTAATTTCTTTCTTTCTTTTTCTTCCTTTCTCTCTTTCTGTTGATCGGTTTATTTATTTACATATTTCTCTCGCTGTCTCTCTCTTGCTCAATCCCTCTATCACTGTATTTCCTTTAAATCTTGTGCTCTCTCTCTCTCTCTCTCTCTCTCTCTCTCTCTCTCTCTCTCTCTCTCTCTCTCTCTCTCTCTCTCTCTCTCTCTCTCTCCTTCTGTCTTTCGTGATTTTCTCTCTGTCTTTCTTGTATACCCCACCCTCCCTAAATCCCCATATTTCCCCCGAGATTGTCATATCAAACTAAATGCTACTGAGGCAAGTTTCTATGTTTCAACAAACAGCCAGTGTTCCAAAGTGCGCTGATGTTGGCAATTATTTGTAATGTTTCTAAAATGTTCGAGAGTGTTATCACTGTATAAGTTAACAAACGAGGGTCTGCGTGGTCTCGAGGTATAGTGTCCGCCTGGAGTGCTAAAGGTTGCGGGTTCAATTCCAGGTAAAGGCTGGGATTTTTTTTACGTGGACTTGGACTTCTAAATTCCCCCCTGGTCTCTGGGTAGTGAGATCGGACGCCCGTGTGCATTGTTGCCCACGTAAAAAAAAATCCCTTGGCAGTTGGTAATCGAAATGAGAAGCCTAACGACGCTGCCCGGGCAAAAAATTTGAGTTAAATATCTAAAGTATTTCTGTATCCTCGAAGGTACTACAGAGTCTGTGCACTAAAATAATTACCGCATCGCGATCGACACTGTCTGCTCCAAGGCTGGCTCTTGGGAAAGGTCAAGTGTTAGAAACCAGGCCACTGCACTGTTTTGACTTGTGGTAGGAAAATTTTGAATAGTTAAGGCCGGTTACAGTCAATGTTTAGGAGTAGAGTTCTCAAAGGTGGAAATTGGTCATGCCCAGTTCCAAATATTATGGCATAGTAGATGGTGTTTGTATAGTGCGTCACTACACATTGTATGTAGAACACATCTGAGAAACATAATAATAACGTTTAAAAAAAGAAACGTTTTTTACGTACAAGTGTTGAGCAATCTGCAGTGAATGGCTGTCGTCTGCTGGAGTAATTATGTGTACTCAAAACAGAATGATGTTATCAATAGACGAAAGTTTTTTGGGGGGTTGAACAATAATTTCTAAATGGTGGTAGATACACAGGGATCGTTGTTCACAGATCTAAAGCAAGATCTCATGATAGCCGAACTCCTAATCACATTAAAGTTAAAAATCTGTTGAGAGAAACAACACACCCATTCATTGTCGTAACCAGAAATTAGAACACGTATCAAGAGAAAATACAAGGAATTGCGGAGAGAATAAACTAACAGTAAACATCCACAAGATCCCATCAGCAAACTCAACAGAAAGCAACATTCAACAATTGTCCGTCTACGAATAGGACACTGCAGGATCAACTACCACATGCATAAAATAAAGATTTAACAGTCCCACAGAGTGTCTGAGCACATTCTGCAGACCTGCCCACTCTACATACAACTTCGAAAAGAAACCTGGCCTCAAGAGCAAAGTGTGCAGAGCAAGCTATGGGGAATCATGAAGGACCTGCTACTGACATATAAGCAACCCATCTGATGGTCTGATGTGAGCATATAAAACCGAACGCAAAGAAGAAGTAACTAATTTGATGACTTTTGAGCACATTTTTTCGCAATGTCCTGTGTGTGATTTTTTTTCTTCAGAACTGTTCTGCGTGCACGGTGTAGTTAGACTTTAAAAACACCCTTATATGTGAGACTAGTCAGTACAGGACATTAAATGGCAGTGTCTATTGCTGCTGCCTGTTAAGAGTACGGGCACCGTTAGCTGTGAAAATAATTCACTAAACTGAGACTCCTAAGCTGAGCTGGGAATGATTTGATCCCTGCTGCTGACGATTTGTCTTGCGCTGGGTTTGACAGTGGTACCAAGAACTGACCCCAATGGTAAACTACTGAACGTGAAACTTGCCTAGAAAAACAATAAATGCTGGGGTTGGTTCTGCAACGTCCTGTAAAGGATACGCAGCTAACTTTTTTTAGTTCCTGCATTACTGGTTGTCTCAATGACAGTTGTTGCAAGCCCTTAACTGAGCCGCTACACCACTGAATCACACTTTGGGAGCTATGATTAGCTCTAATTTAGCTGTTAAACCACAGAATAACACCTTTTACAATTAAAAATTGACGTATTATGTAGACGTCAATTTCTATCTTATCAGTGTCCAGTCATCAGTGTTTGTTATTTTGATGCTGAAGTCGCTGTGTCATGTTCTGTTGTACAGCCAGGTAAGAAGCTCAATCTAAGTTCTTGTCCCAGTTATCATGTAATACAACAGTACGCTACACACAGACAACTTTATATTGAACGTGCTTGCAATCGTTTTGATACAGGATAGTTTATCAACACATGTTGACCCAAATCGATGATGTAGTCATACGGCAACGATTCATCTTCTTCTTTAGCATTCCGAGCCCTTGAGGTTCACTGCTGCAGATATTACCCGCCTCCATTTATCTCTTTGGTTAGCCTTCTCTTTCAATATGGTGACACCTAGTGTTTGTAGGTCTGTCTAGATACTGTCTCTACATGATCTTCTTGGTCTCCCTCGTGGTCTACGACTATTAAACTCTACACTATATTCAACTATACACAGTTTTTACCTCTCTGTCATCTGATGTTCTCTTAATATGCCCCAGCTATTTTTGTTGATTAACCTTTATGATGCCAGTAATCAATGGTGATTTAAGCAGATGATGAATCTCGTTGTTGCTTGCGACAAATTGCATTAAAACGAAAGATATAAATAAAAAAGTCAAGTTAAAGTCAAGAGGAACAACTTCGTTCCACCGGGCTATCCTATACACCCAGGCCTTTCTCTGCAGAACAGCTACCGCATGTCGAGAGCCTCACCCAAATCACAAACTCAGTAGCTCAGGCGACTATCTGCATAAATCTACTTTAAAATTGCACTTGTGAACTGAACGCAGGTCAATAAAACTCACGACTTTCAGAGCGGGAGACTAATGATGTTATAAATAGGGATAATGTCAGGGGATGATTGGCATAACTGGGGAAGTCCCTGAGAGCATGGGTTTCATGGAGATATGGTGAAACGACAGGAAAGAGTGTGTCACGTGTGAATGAGGAGATCTGGGGGATTGAGAATCAGGCGGGCATTCGGTGACTGGGCCCCAGAGAGAAAGGATGGAAAATGAAGCTGTGAAGATGAATGGAGAATGACTAGAGCATGTGGATCTGAATCGGCGAGGAATGAATGATCGAGAAGGCCAGCGGTGAATGGTACCCTGTTTGATTGTCAAAGCCAGCTGTGAATATGTCAACGTCTATTGTCCGAATGCTGTAAGTGGATTCACCTGTGATTTGTGTATTGAGCTAACGTGTAAATAAACTCGTGAAATGTGCCGCTGGTGTTAACCGTTGTTAGACGTTGTGTGACCATGAAGAGGATCATGTCTGCGTTGATTGAGTTGTGAACCTCTAGATATTAGAGCCAATGTTAACTCTGCACCACAGATAGCCAGTGTGGAGGAGACACAAAAGGGCAGTCATTACAGAGACAAATGGCTTAACCACTTTGCCACAAACACCCCCCCCCCCTTTTTTTCCCATTATCCTTCTTTGCACCGAGCATTATTCGTCAAGTGTGCTTCTTTTGCTTGGGCTATTCAAAATGAATATTCTTTAATGCATTTTCCATCACTAATTGAGACACATTTTGAACTTAAATGTCAAAGAAAAATTCTTAAAATTTCGTATATCAAAAAACGGAACAATACAGACATTAATTAATCAGGATAAGAATATCAAGGGCGTTGTAAACTCAAATAGAATTGTAACTAGGAATTCGAAATTCGAACAACTTGGAAACCGAACAAAATT